CTTCGACGCAATTGTGTGGACGCGCCAAGGACCGGATTTCGCTATAAATCGGAAGTAATTTTGCAATGTCAATAATGTTTTGGTTATTTTTGTTTTGTGGTTGCGAAAAAAAACAATCAATTTCCGCGTTCATATTTTTTTTAATGTCGCACCGAATTTTCGAGAATAAAATTGTTTGTTTACTTTACAAATCAATTAAATATGTGTTAATGATTCTTAATTACCCAATAAAATATTATCACCATCACTTTGTATTTTATTGTTAATTAAAGTCAATTAATTCTTATCGATCATTTATGTTTGTCGCCAATTTGCTAATTATGACGTAGCCAGACTTAAATATCACGTTATTAGAACCTTTTATGGGGTTGATGGCAGCTTTAAACTTTCAAATCAAATTTAACACATTAGAGATATCAAGTTCTAATTTAAGCGAAAAATTTTCCTATACGGAATATTTGAAAAGAATTATTTAACCTTTTTTCGACCTATTACCAAATGAAATTATACAATATTATTTAATTACAAAAAAAAAGTTCGAAGTCGAAGATTCTTATGTCATTCATTTACATCAATCATCAGCTCAATTTTTCTATCCATATTTGATTTATACCACATTAGAAAAATAAACGATTCAAAAAATATATATAGATAAAACTTAAGTCGTTCATTTTAGTCTATGTTTTAACATGAACATAATAGATCGAAAATTGTCATCGTATCATCGTCTGCATTGTCAATTGATGAACAATTCTTGGAATAAAGACAATGCAAAATTGCCAACAAGGTATGCATACTAAAAAAACTCTTGGGCACTTAAAATGTTTAAAAACGTGCTCGATGCAAAAAAAAGTAATTCCACGAGTACTGCCTGAACATCATCATAGTCCAGATTGCGTCTGATTAAACGTAACGTCATCTAATTATAGCTTTCCTCGTATAAGAACACCGATATAGAGAGAACGGTATACGTGGACTGGGTCTTGTATAGTTAATTACACCTAATGTTTGACGTTTCCTGTACCAACCGCGACAACGACGGTTAATCACGAAGCTATATTATCATCATCATATTGCGTTTGGCGACGAGTAATAATAAGAAAAAAATGAGAAAAGTTGTAAAATAAAACAAAACAATATCAACTTATATGTAATATTAAATGACATTAAACTGTTAAACTCAGCATAATATACCTTTTATGTATTGCTTATGTGTTTATTACCGTTATTTACCATCCATTACTGGCCATTGTGATCCCAAATAACAAATAAGAAGAATTTGGAGCGGATATATTACGTGATCTTGGAAGAGGGGTTCCGATATTACGATATCATATAACATTGGATAAATAAACTTGAATACATAAACTCGATTTCCCCACCAATAGTTTGCACGTCATCGCTACGGCACAAGGTTGATTTACTGACTAAAAATTTATGAGTTGCAAATTTAATAATAGTAATTAATTTCTAGGTTCTAATGAAAGATTTAATTGATTAATATAACATCATGTTTACGTGTCAAACAGTAATTATTCATCATTCAATAAATCTCTTCGAAATTTAACATCATATCATTAATATCGGTACTTTGAAGGGCGTAATTTAGCTTTAGATAATGCCGAAATGGAATAATCCAGCTAAGCACTTAATCCTTAAATTGAAATCGACTATTTTAATGAAAGAGCAAGGTAATGAAGATTCTTTAATTCCTGTAAATGCAAAAACAAGATTTATAATTCTATTTTTTGTAATAACCTGATTTTATTACATCACTTTGCTAATACATATATAGAATATACAAGAAAGAAGAACATGTATTTCTGAAGAATATGTTGACTAATTGAGAGAAGGTCATTATAGATTATAGTAAACCATCATTACAGAGAATCTTAAAACCTCCATTTTTTACAATGATACACCATCTTCAGGGTCTATACTATAGACTATATCATTTAATAATGAATATTTTAATCTAATTGAAAATGTTTGGGTATTACAAAGAATAATTACAATCTACATATTGGAAGAGATGGATTAAAAATTGAAAAATACTTGGCATTGTGGGATCAACCTTTACAACGATTACCCAGACAGTATGAAAGAATTCCATAGGTCATGCCGGGAAAATATTTCAAGACTATTGGTATTGAGGGAATGGGATTAAACGAGGTGACACCGCGTTTTTATCAATGAAACAGGTGAATATAGCAGCAATGACGAGTTTGAAGATTTATTTTTATTATTGACCATGATATTGACAAAAATTTATGGCCATATGACTAATTATTGACCACATTTTCAATTTTAAGACATTTCACAGTTTACACAATAAGCAGCTTAACGAAGACGTTGGCGCGGTCTTGAGTTAGAGACCCAAGTCATAATCTCATAATATTAATAAGTGTATTGATACTTTGAGCAAGATTATATCCAACTCTAGCAATGGATGCTCTGCTTTGCCTATCTCTTTTGCATGTGCATATAGAGAAAGTCGCTAGAAGTACTATTTACAGATATAAGCAATATGCTCAAAACTGTTCCGATATGTCCTACCAATGGGCTGCGAAAGATACTATAAGCACTGATATTGTGCTATCAAAGCTGTCAGATTTGACGGAATCACTATCAATATAACAATTGGACCGCATTATACATCACTTGACTAAGCGACATTTTATCGCTTTTAGAGATTTTCATACCGCCTGGTGGGTAAAGGTGTAACTTATCTTAGAAAAAATGCAGAATACCGAAAGACCCAAAATACCATTTGTTTTAAAGGATAAAGCTAAGCGGCAATCACGTTATACGATTTCAAATCCGATTTGCATCATACGTCTAAAAACCGACTTAGATACGACACTTAGATACACCAAGAAATTCTACAATAGAAAAAAATAGATGAACCTACAATTTCAGACCACTGTCGTTTTCTAGATGTTAGTATAAAATTAAAAGTTTGTCTTTTATTTTATACAGAATTTAAGTCTAACTAGTTTCGACCCTTAGCCATCTTCAGAGACTCTACAAATAAATTAACATCTCTCATCTTATCCATTTTACAAATGACAGCGGTAGGTAACGCTAGTTAGCATAAGATATCACTATGTCGCATATTATTATTCCACTAACACTAAACACGGCTAAACTAAAAAAATCATTTAAAATAAGTCCAAACTCAACACATTTAACTTTGACATTAATAGAGATACAATCACTTCCGGTTTGAAACGTTAACGTCAATTTTGACATATTTGTCATCTTCATTAAAAAACCTGAGTTAGCAACAATGAAGATAGCAATTTAATTTTTAAATATTAATACCAACCTCAATTTTTGATTTTTTTTATTATATTTTTGTGACATTTTATAAAAATTGAGAATATGTCAAAATAATATTGACATTTCAAATCGAAAGTTGCTTATATCTCGAGTAATATTGATTGTATATTTTTAATGAAGATTACAAATAGGTCAAAATTGAGGTTGACATTTTAAACCTGAAGTTAGTTGTCAGTGTTATCAGTGATAACACTGACAACTAACTAATAGAATAACTTATTTCTGATAACTTATCACATAATAGAAGTTTTATAACTGAAGTTAATCTAGTGGTAGTCACTTTTCAGCACTTTCTTTTTATTTTTAACGTGTTTTTTGGGTCATTTCATATTGATTAAAAAGAAAATTGTCGATTTTTAAGCCACATGATGATTCTTAAATTTTTCTCAAATTTATTAATATTTTTTTTGTTAAAAAAGAGTGTTCTTAAATTTTAAGTTAAGTGAAACCAGTTGAAAAGTACAAAATCAAACTCTAGATAATTTTTACACTAAACATCATTTTCACTCTACTATTTGTGTTTAAATTTATGCCACGACTTACAAAAACACCCTGTATAATCGTAAAACGACTGATCAAGCAGATTCTGTGCTTGTGATGGTTGTCAACAGTGTTCTGTGATAAAAATAGATAGGCACCAAACAATTTTCAATAGTTTGAGCCTGCCTATTCTGAGAAGTCATATTTTTAGAGAGATGAAAACAAAAATCCCGTTTTTCTCAACATTGTTCATTTGTCGCTAAGTCAAGTGATGCATAACGCGGTCCAATTAAAACTAGAACTAAGACTAGACCTAGAACTAGAAACATTCGGATTTAGCCCTACGTCTCTTAAGACGGCTAAACCCAAATAATATAATTAAGTAAACCCAAGTTAAACCCAAGTAGATAGTACTTCCATAAAAATATACGTCAATCTAGCGCTGAATAACAATTAAAACTAGAACTAACACTAGACCTAGAACTAGAAAGTTTCGGGTTTAGCCGTACATCTTCAGACGTGTTAGTGTTAGTTCTAGTTTTACACTAGCACTGTTACTATGTATGTAGAACTAACACTAAGTATAGATAGTCTGAAAACGCACGGCTAAACAGTGATTAATGCTCGATATCAGATTGTACTACCTGAACGGTAGTCCTTGATCGAAAATAAAAATTCTCTGCTGCATTAATTAACTATAATTACTTTACCCAAATATATCTGATGTACTCTAAGACACTTATAAAAATAAATAAAAATTTTTGCTTGTAAGTTGGCATTAGTAGTCCAATACAAATGATTGAAGGTGTTAAATAATTAATTATTCGATTCGTTAATTAGTAGTTTCGCGAATTTTCCGACCTTACGCACACGCACGTTTTTTAAATACTAGATGCAAAAGGTTACAACAACAATGTCGAAGTTGTAAAATTTGTTATTGACATGCAGAGCGACAGTTTTTATACCCTCCTTGACTTACTAAGGAATTGCCTATCAAAATAATCGCAAGAAAAAAACTTTTAACTCGATAATAATTGGGTGTTATTTAAGTTTCATTTGGAATATAACCAATGATATTACAAAAACAACTTATTAAAAAGGTTGATGTGTTATAAACAAGGTGATAAATAAATTTAGTCCAAGAACCTTGACAAATTCAAATATAAATGTTTACTTACGGTTTATTACTGATGTCTGAGTATGATTCAGATCCGGAACTTAATTTTCTTGTATTTCTTGCCCAAGCCTCCCGTTGCTTCTTTAATCGTTTCTCTAATTTTTTCGATTCCAAATGTCTTTTAAGTATTTTTGTCCAATGCGCAGAAAAAGTATTCATCACATTTCCCTCACTTTCCGTGCTACTATTCGAAGTTACACTATTTTTCCTACACTTTATGACATTTGTCACCGAATTTCTTCGCGTTTCTGAAGCGGATGGCGACGAAGCTAAACTATTTCGACCGCTTTCCTCAGTCGTTGAAATAATACTTGATTTTCGACTCTCAAAACCTGAAGATGTCGTCGAACAAAACGACGATTTCTCATCAGATCTCATCGTCATCGTTTCAAAAAATGTATTCCTTCGATTACCGAAAGAAGGTAGACTACATCGTCGTTTATTTTGAAAATGATGACGATTTTGTTGTTTTAACCAACGTAATACGTGTTCGTTTCGATCGTTTTCGATTGTTTCGTCTAAATTGAATTTAAGATCGTGACAATTTTCGTAAAGCTTTTCGTTTCGATGACAGTAGCCAAGTTTTCTTGTTCGAACTGGTCGTGGATTTATTTCAATTTCTTGGTGATCAATTTCGGCGGCTTCGACCGCCGATAATAGCTCATCATCAAGACAATCTTTGCTATACTTTGAGTATTTTTTAAGTAATCTTAATGCGATTTCATCACTTTGCGTTGAAATTTTTCTGTTTATCGTATCTTTATTATTATCTTGTTGTTGTTGATGATGTTCTTCAGTCTCAGTAAATAAATTATTAATAAATACATTTTTATCTACACTATCACTCGTATTCTCTTCTGATTTCTCAAATTTAAGCATTAAAACTTGAGAATTGTTTCCTTCACTATGTTCTAAATCAGTCTTACCATTAAGAATTTGGATTAATCCGTTTTCTTGGACCACCAAATCCTGCCATCTATCACCACCACCATTAATAATACCGTTTTCTTTTTGTTGTTTTTGTATTATCATATTTTCGTTAATTATTTCTTGGTTATTTAAGGTGTTTAGCACTAGTTGTGATAAACATTCTTCAATTTTGTTTGAACCGTCCAATTTTTTTTGATGTTGTAATAATTGTTCTTTTTGTTGTTCGGTAATTTCTTTAAAACTATTATCTTGAAGTACTAGATGTTTATTTGCGACTCGTCTCAAAAAATCGGAAACTGCCACCCAATGGGCTTGTGTTAACACGCCATGGAGTCTTATTGAAGATAATTGAAGCGGGATCCATTGGTCGTCTTTGTAACACCAAACGACTCCAGAAGTTACCATTTTTCCTCTTCATTAGATTAACAATTCTAAACCCAAACGAGAAAATAAAAAGTAACCGATTTAACAAGTCTTTGCTCGAAAGAACCTCGCGCTCAACTGTTTTAATTTAAACAAACGTTTCGAGTGCCAAGTATTGTTTTTGGTATCGACAATGAGTCATAATCGTTCGTGCATATAAAAAATGATTGATTCAAGTTCGATTTACGTCGAAAAAAACAGAGTTAACAGTAACGAAATGTTTTTCGAGATAACTTTCGAATATCAAGAATTTCTATTGAAGGAAATAATAATTAGTGGGATATTTAGTTGAAATTTATCGATGGTATTTTTCTCCGAATACTTTCGGTATGATTCTACGAAGAAATTTACATAAAAATTGTTGTTAATTCCGAGAAGTTACGAATATATGCTAAATTGTGAGTAATTTTTGGGAGATAAACTTCGGAGAAATTTTAATTGTTTAAGAAGTATGCACATCGAACATTTTGAAACATTATTAATTCAAAAAAAAAATTAAATAATAAAAATAGAGAATTATATTCGAAATTCATTTTACTAGTATTTGTAAATGATTAGGAGAAATAATATATAAAGTTTTTTTGTACTGTCAAAACTGGTCTTTAATTAAATAAAAAACATGCGTCTTACTAGTTTCGGATAATAGCCATCTTCAGAGACTAGTTTTAGTGATGCAAAAGTCTACAAAAGTTCAGTGCTAGTATAAAACTAGAACTAACACTAGATCTAGAATTAGAAACATTCGGATTTAGCCGTACGTCTCTTAAGAGGGCTAAACCCGAATGATTCTAGTTCTAGGTATAGTGTTAGTTCTAGTTTTACACTTGCACTGTCACTAGAACTAACATTAGACCTAGAACTAGAAACATTTGGGTTTAGCCCAACGTCTCTTAAGACGGCTAAACCCGAATGATTCTAGTTCTTGCTCTAGCGTTGCATAACAATTAAAACCAGAACTAACACTAGACCTAAAACTAGAACGTTTCTCTACATAGTAACAGTGCCAGTGTAAAATTAGAACTAACACTATACCTAGCACTAACATTATTTGAGTTTAGCCGCACGTCTCTAAAGACGGCTAAACCCGAATGATTCTAGTTCTAGGTATAGTGTTAGTTCTACATCATTTGGGTTTAGCTGCACGTGTCTAAAGACGGCTAAACCCGAATGATTCTAGTTCTAGGTATAGTGTTAGTTCTAGTTTTACACTTGCACTATCACTAGAACTAACATTAGATAAAGACGGCTAAACCCGAATGATTCTAGTTCTAGGTATAGTGTTAGTTCTAGTTTTACACTTGCACTGTCACTAGAACTAACATTAGACCTAGAATTAGAATCATTTGAGTTTAGCCGCACGTCTCTAAAGACGGCTAAACCCGAATGATTCTAGTTGTAGGTATAGTGTTAGTTCTAGTTTTACACTTGCACTGTGACTAGAACTAACATTAGACCTAGAACTAGAAACATTTGGGTTTAGCCGGACGTCTCTTAAGACGGCTAAACCCGAATGATTCTAGCTCTTGCTCTAGCGTTGCATAACAAATATATTTATATAAAAACTTCGAAAGTACAAAAAAGCTTTATATATTATTTCTTCTAATTAATAATAAAAATGATTTATTCATACATTTTTTAACTTATTGTCATTTGTTGAAAATTTAAAGATAAAATAATTGTTATCAAAATGCCAATAATACTTAATAAAACATAGATTACCTACAATAATTTTTTTTTAAATGTTCTTCCTGTTTCAAACACATTTTAATCACTTCCTATGTGTCCATTCGCAAAAAAACGTCATTCGCCAAGCATACAAAACAGTTTCCGGTTTGTTATAGCTTTGTCGGCACGTAATAAAACAAACATAACGCAGCACCAAGAAGGTTGCTGATAACACGACACATTTTTAATTTCTCATTTTAAAACTATTGATTGCATCAAAATTTATTATTAAATTTTTTTAATAATAAAATTCAGGTCAAGCTCTCATTTTCGCTTTTTTTTTTAAAGCTTTTTTGATTCAGTAAAATTCCACTACGTGACCGTAGATAATCCCGATGTGTGACAAATACAACAAGGACTCTTTAGCTTGGTTCTTTCGAGCAACGTTTTCTGATCAAGCGTCGTTGGCGTCTCTTGAAAAGTGAAAATGCGTGGCTTTTGTTCTTGACCTTGAATAGAAGACAATGCAACTAAGAACGAACGGCCACAACGCGGGTCGATTGGAATTACAAATTGACTAGCGACCTCACCAGACTTTTAGAAGAAAGAGCAGATGGCACAAATAAAAAAGAAATAGATTTTAGTACTAAAATTAAACTTTCCGTGTATCAAAAAAAAACAACTCCCTACTCGTTTAAAAACATATTAAATCATCATTAAACGCAGCCGTTTTTATCTTAAAATTAATAAGAAACTAAGCACTCAAGTGAGTGTAAATATGACTGCTTCCTATTGTTGTCTTATTTTCATTTTAAAGCTGCATAAAAAAATTTTAAGAAAAGGTGTTTATGATAACAATATTGAACATTCTTTTCCTGGTTTCTGTTTTTTTAGATAATAAGAAATAAGTTAGAAATAAAATGACTTTGAAGTTTTTTCTTATACTTTTTTGTTGCAATAGCAATAACGTTACAATCGATCGATTCTGGTACAAATACTGAGCAAAGTGGAGCTAGAACTCGCGGTCGTGAAGAGTAAAAAACGTCTTTGATCGGTCGAACTAAATATAGAAGACCTTATAAAGCAACTTCTTCTTCGGTTAGTAGTCTAGACGAGATAATAAAGACAACGGTTCAGTTCTAAGAAGTTTTTTTCTATTTCTTTCTTAAAAGTAATAATATTAAGTCATTTTCACTTTTCAATTTCCGCCATTTTTCATTGTAAAAATCATTACAATTTTAGATTTGGATTTCTTCATTGTGTTAGATTTCAAATTGCAACTTTACATGGAAAAAACGTAAAAAAAAAACAAGAAAAAAAGGTAAATTGCACAGGAGACGTGTTCGAGTCTCGACACATTTACGAAATAATTTACTTAATCGATGGTTTTTTCTGTGATTTTGATGTTTGTGTAAAACTCTCTTGGGGGGTATAATGAAATTTGTTTTCAGCGCGAGGTTTTACCTACAACTTGTGGGTAATTTGCTTTGGAAAATATTCTACAAGTGCATCGATGCACTTGGCACGTCTCTCATTCTGGCGCCATTTCCATCGTGTAACAAGAACAACCTTAGAATTTCTAATGCATGAAGAAAGTTATATCACTCACACAAAGTGTTTATCTGAACTAAAATATATTATTTTGTCAGAGTTTCTTTCCTGGCCAAAAAAAAATCAATCAAATAAATTATTTAGCCATAAATTAATATCATGTTATGACGTAATCTGTATTATTAAGCTTCTTTAGATTTAGTTAGTACAGTTTTGTTACTTTTATGGATGTTTATAATTTAGTGAATTGGGGTCCAATACTTTTTGACAACGTTTCTATTGGATTCCTCCACTATTACCTAGTGGAGCCATAAAGCCTAGTAGCTATAAAGCTAGTCGTTTAACAACAGTTATCAACTGATGTGAAGATTGCGGCTGAAGTCATAAATAAAGTCATTCAATATGGATCAAAATTTTTTGAGCAAGATGTAAATGATGATGAAAAATGATGTCAAGCCATTAACTAACTTAATTTGTTAAATCAAGTCTAATAAATGAGATTTACTAGATTTCGTTTTTTTTTTGCAATAGTTGCAAAGGTCCAATTTTTAGGATAAATTGATTTTAAAACATGATAAAACAAAATTCCCTATTAATTTTTCCTAACTGTTATCAACTATTCAACAATTTGGCATGTGTTATAGAAAAAAATCAATTTGAACCATGTTGGTACATCATCCTCTACCTATTCTATGTCATGTAAGATTTGCTAATTCTTTGTTTTGGGCATTATAAGGCAAAGCATCAACAATATATTTAATTCACACAATAACTCTCAAAAAAGCTATAGTATTGGTGTGTTATTGTGCATTGATAAGAAACCTATTAATGAGAAATAAACCATACAAATACATCTTGAAAAGGCAAAGCTGAGGTAGATCAGCTAATAACAAAAATATAAATACCGACGATTGGCTTAATTCTTTGCAAATTATGCAAAAACTAGAAGACAGTTAAAGTATATATTTCAAACTTATTTTTGGCAGAATATAAAAAAGACTTCTAACATAGAAATTTATTTTCATAAACACATATCGATTAATATGGGACGACAATATTCTTTGGCTTTTTGTGGACACCCTACAGTTATTCGAATCAACACAGCTGAGTCCACACACTTCTGCAAAATACTGTCAAATGACTCTGCCCAATTCAGTAAATTTGTTTTGAATGCATTCGACTAATGTGTCAGCTGTATTTGAAGAAGCTTGATGTAGCAAGGATTGTATGAAATTCAAATCATAACCAACCATCAAATATACTTCAATATTGTATTATTACTTTTGTAATTATCAGGTAGATTAGTCAAGATTTGATTTGTGGTCAAGTAATCTTATATATCATTAGAAAGAAGTTCAAAAGTGATCACAAAACTTTAGGAACATAAATCGTAATTTTAATTCTACTTGCAAGAAATAAAAAACATATCGATTTGCGAAATGATTTTTTTGCGAAAAACCGCGAGTTATGAAATTAATTCAAAACTGATTCAAGGCTACTTTACAAACAGATTAAGCAATCCCAACCATAGTTTTTGTGCTAATGAGAAGAATGATTAGGCAAGGTTGCATGACTCGATCAAAAATCATCCTTTTGTGAAAAAATTTAACTAATTATTAAAAATGGTGGATATCTCCTATTAAAAACCTATTTTGCAAAAAAATTGAATGAAACAAACAAAAACTCAACTTCTAAATTCTGTTATTTGTTGGCAATGCACAAGGCATGTTTGGAACACACAAATGCGGAGGTAGTTTTCCACTGAACACACTACTACTGTTATTCAATCTGCATCTTAGATATAGTAGAGGAAGAATTAATTATTATTGAAGATATCTTTGGAATAGGCAAAAATTAAAGAAAGATCACAACAATTCGAGAAGATTTGATCTTTACCATAAAGTAGTAAACCCTATTTACTTATTGGCGAACCTAATTTCGAGACAGTATTGAAATTTCAACGGGAATTCATGAATTGCATAAACGAGTTTGAAAACCTCATTGTCTTTTACTCGAAAGTTAATTACACCTGAGGGAAAGATCGAAAAAGAATCTCAAGTTACACTGTTTATGTTAATTTTTGTTTGAAATTGAAAATTTTTGTAAACAACCCTATATTATGATTAAAGATGACTTGTAGCATCGACAGGAACGTTATTATAACTTCTATATTTATTCTTAGCAAGAATTTCTGTATTTTCCGTTCTGGATACAACTTATCTAACCAGTGGGTTTTTCCACATACATGCATACACTCATTCAGATTAACTTACATTAACGGTAATGAAGATTACTTTCGCGTCACAAATTTCCTATAAATTAAGTGTAGATTTTGCTTTATTATTAAAGTATCATTTTCATTGACCTTAGGGTTTTGAATGGTACAGATTACTATATAAATCGCCAATGGGTAGATTTATTTTAATTAGAGAGTGTGTTGCAAGTAGTTATTTTTGGTTGTTAAAAATTTTATCCAATCCAAAGTTTTCGGCCGGCATCAGAGAAAATCGATTTTTTCTGGCAGTCCCAGATTTTTTCAAATTCTTTGTATAATTATGTTTTATGTTTTGGGTTATCCACAATACATTTCAGATTAATCGAAATTAAAATAAACGCATTAAATTAATATGTGTTGGGTTTTGGGAATGTTAATTTGATAATGACTTGAGAAAAGTTTGACACTTCTTTTAGACACTTCTTAAAACCCAACCCTAACTTTAACAAACAACATTCTCAAGTAATTTCAATATTTCAATAATAAAAGGGATAATAGAATAAGAGATTTTGTTATTATTTCGGCAAAATTAATTCATTTGATTATCGGTTATTTAAAATTTCTTATTTTTTGACAAGGGGAACCATTTTTTAACTTCACAACTATTTTTATATTAAACCTATATTTATCAGTTATTTTAAAATAGCACTTTTTTGATAAGTTTAACATAACCTAACAACTCTTTCTAAACAACTCCTCATCATTTAAACAACGAATTTGATTAAAAACATAGATATCCAATTTAAACCATTCCATATTATGTAACAAGATAGAAAACATAATATAAATTTAAATATAAAAGTTTTTATTTTCCAAAACATAATCAAAACCTCACAGAAAGATCCATTAAAGTTACAAAGTGAAATCTAACACTTAAAGAAATCGAAATCAAAATCATAATAAATAATATTTAAATAGTAAATTATAAGTACCTTTTTGAGAAAAAAAAAGTAAATAAATCAAAAACCGATCATAAGTGTGTCTTAAAATCCTTAGACACCAACCTTGAAATCACAAAATTAAAGTCATTTCGGCACGGAAATCGCGAATTTTTCAATTTTCGCGCGCGTTCTTTTTTTTAACACACCGTATAACGATAACAAACAGAGATGGAAAATAATAATATTGAGAAATATAAATTTCAGGAAAAGGAACGAATTCGTCCGTGACATGCGCCGCCTCGAACTACGATGCACCGCGAATGACTGAATGGGTTAGCAGGCGCTGGTGGTCACAGGCCACTTGACCACTGGAACGACATCGTGGTGGGGCAACTAACTCCTGGTGATAATAACCAGAAGAGGAGACCCAACTTTTCAAAACGAAGAAAGCCAGAAAAGAATAATCTCAAGATCTTATTGCATCACACTCGTTATTCATCTCCTTCTGACTTCATCAGACTCTGAGAAAGATTTACAAAGTGATCTTGATATTCTTAAGAGATACCTGGAATTTTGTATATTATTTTGTTAAACTTAAAATGTTAGTAGGACTAAGGACGAATTACACCATAATTTTGGAATTAATAATAATTATTTCGCTTGAAATTAAATATAAACAAAAAAATGTTGCTAATTAATGATGAAATGTTAAGTATATGTTAATTCCTTAATCATTTCGTATATTAAAAATAAATAAAATATATGAAAAGTTCCTAGATTTTTATTTGTTTTGATTTTTTTTAAGAGAAGTCTTGAGATGATGCAATTACTTTTCTGTGCCAAAATCCTGATTACGACTGCCAACTTTTTTACACAAACGTTAGATTAAGGAAAATAAAGAAGTAATAAGAACAGTAAAAATCCCCTAACTCGAATCGTTAAGGAAGCGGAAGAAAACTTTGAGTTAAAGAAAAATTAGTTGAATTTCAGTTCTAAAGAAATATCTTACTACTTATGTACTTTTCTTATGCGTATATTTAACCTTTCAACTACTTCAATAAAAATATACAACAATCTAGCGGCGAATAACAATTAAAACTAGAACTAACACTAGACCTAGAACTAGAAAGTTTCAAGACGGCTAAACCAGAATGTTTCTAGTTCTAGGTCTAGTGTTAGTTCTAATTTTACACTAACACTGTTACTATGTAGAACTAATACTCTACCTAGAACTAGAATCATTCGGGTTTAGCCGTCTTTAGAGACGTGCGGCTAAACCCAAATGTTTCTAGTTTTAGGTCTAATGTTAGTTCTAATGACAGTGCAAGTGTAAAACTAGAAGTAATACTATACCTAGAACTAGAATTATTCGGGTTTAGCCGTCTTTAGAGACGTGCGGCTAAATCCGAATGATTCTAGTTCTAGCTATAGAGTTACTTCTAGTAACAATGTTACTGTAAAACTAACACTACACCTAGAAGTAGAAACATTCGAGTTTAGCCGCACGTCTCTCAAGACGGCGAAACCAGAATGACTATATTCAAATTTTACTTGCAACATGGATATCTATCTTAAGAATGACTCTAGTTCTAGGTATAGTGTTAGTTCTAGTAACACTATTAGTGTAAAACTAACACTACACCTAGAACTAGAAACATTCGAGTTTAGCCGCACGTCTGTCAAGACGGCTAAACCAGAATGATTCTAGGTCTAGGTATAGTGTTAGTTTTAGTGACAGTCCAAGTTTAAAACTAGAATTAACACTAGACCTAGAACTAGAATCATTTGGGTTTAGCCGTCTTTAGAGACGTGCGGCTAAACCCAAATGTTTCTAGTTCTAGGTCTAATGTTAGTTCTAGTAACAGTGCAAGTGTAAAACTAGAAGTAACACTATACCTAGAACTAGAAACATTTGGGCGGCTAAACCCGAACGTTTCTAGTTCTAGATCTAGAGTTAGTTCTAATTGTTATTCAGCGCTAGGTTGTTACATACAACCATAACTAGAACTAACACTAGCAATATCACTAGAACTAACACTAGACCTAGAACCGTCTTATTCTGATAAGAAAAATGTATACAGAATAAAAAAAAATAATTCCTCATTAAAAATATTTGAAAACAAACCTAAATTCTGTTGGGTTATTTTTAAAAAATAACCTAAATCACAGCGTCAAGTTAAGTAAGATATTTAAAAAGTAATGTTTTCACGGTAATTATAACAAACTGACCACAATCTCGTACCGCAAAGTGTATATAACTTGGTCAAGCAAACAAATCCGAGAATAATCGATAAGTTATGAGTAATAGTTGATATATGCTCTTTTTTAATGGAAACGTGTCTGACGTCAAATGCCTTAAATTTACCGGATAAGAACGTTTAAGGAATATTTTACCACTTAGATCTGGTTCTATGCTTCTTAGTAGTAAGAAGAATCTATTTACTTCCATTTAATTCGTGGGGGGCTTAACTTTTGTTGTCTCGGGGATTTACTACTTATGATGAATTACCAGGAAGCAAACGAGAGCGAGTAAATTAGATAAGTTAATATGTACCATATGTGTCTAAACCGGTATTTATCTTGGAATTTACATATTTGTCATACGATGTAAAAATCTATGAATTAAGTTATAAGAAGACATTTTAGCATTTTTATTTATGTGGCTGAAGTTAGATTCATATTCGAATCTGTACCAGATTCAGATTCATAAAATTACAGTTGACCAGACAAGTATTGAACATATCAATTGAAAAATCGTTTTCTGAAACTACAGAAGTTGTAGCAATCTGCGACTACCCTGGATAATTCGAATAGACCCTCTAGTATGTTCCCTGTCTATCCTCACCCTCAGATTTGCCGTAGGGGCCGAGCGGTTCACCGTTTTCAATAGCATACTTAGATATTATTTTCTCAATAACTAGAGACTGCAGCACCCTGGGACTAGTTCAGATTATTGCATTAGGTCCTCTGGTATCTTTCTAGCCCACCAGCACCCCCAGATTTGCCGTAGGGGCCGAGGGGTGAATTTTTTAATATTACTCGTTTTCAATATCAAATGTAAACATTATTTTCTCAATAATTAGAGACTGCAGCACCCTGATACTAGTCTAGATTATTGCATTAGGTCCTCTGGTATCTTTCTAGCCCACCAGCACCCCCAGATTTGCCGTAGGGGCCGAGGGGTGAATTTTTTAATATTACTCGTTTTCAATATCAAATGTAAACATTATTTTCTCAATAATTAGAGACTGCAGCACCCTGATACTAGTCTAGATTATTGCATTAGGTCCTCTGGTATCTTTCTAGCCCACCAGCACCCCCAGATTTGCCGTAGGGGCCGAGGGGTGAATTTTTTAATATTACTCGTTTTCAATATCAAATGTAAACATTATTTTCTCAATAATTAGAGACTGCAGCACCCTGATACTAGTCTAGATTATTGCATTAGGTCCTCTGGTATCCTTCTAGCCCATCAGCACCCCCAGATTTGCCGTAGGGGCCGAAGGGTGAATTTTTCAATATTCCTCGTTTTCAATATCAAATTTAAAAATTATTTTCTCAATAACTAGAAACTGCAGCACCCTGGGACTAGTCTATATTATTGCATTATGTCCTCTGGTATCCTTCTAGTCCACTCGCACCCCCAGATTTGCCGTAGGAGCCGAAGGGTGAATTTTTTAAAATTCCTCGTTTTCAATAGCAAAATTAAAAATTATTTTCTAGACTAGACTAGAAGAACTAAAGACTACAGCGCCCTGGGACTGGTCTAGATTATTATATTCAAAATTTATTCAATATTTAGTTTGATTTGAAAGTATAATTTTCATATGGCTTTTACTTCTTTATTAATGAAACTTGAACGACACTTTTCAAAATTTTTAGACACATTAAAGCATTTAAATTAATTTTTTATATTGTTTTTTGTATTTGTTTTTTATATTATATGTTTTTTATATTGACACGGCTCTACCTGTAACGTCGGTAGCTGTGCCTTACTTATAAAGGTTTCATTATCAGTAGAGGGTTCTGATAAATGTTCTTCATCTAATCTATCATGAATATTACTAAATAATGAAACGTTAGAAACAAGTAGCTGCGATATAGTTGGCGACGAACGTTTTAGAATGGGGCTGTTACTATTTAGTATTATAGTTTCATTTGCATTAGTAGATCTTTCTTTTATTTCAATGTTATTATATAGAAGTAAAAGCAATACGAAATTATAATATCAAACTAAATATTACATCAATTTTAAATATAATAATCTAGACTAGTTCTAGGGTGCTGCAGTCTCTAGTTATTGAGAAAATAATATCTAAGTATGCTATTGAAAACGGTGAACCGCTCGGCCCCTACGGCAAATCTGAGGGTGAGGATAGACAGGGAACATACTAGAGGGTCTATTCGAATTATCCAGGGTAGTCGCAGATTGCTACAACTTCTGTAGTTTCAGAAAACGATTTTTCAATTGATATGTTCAATACTTGTCTGGTCAACTGTAATTTTATGAATCTGAATCTGGTACAGATTCGAATATGAATCTAACTTCAGCCACATTTTTTATTTAGCTTTAATTTGGTGTATAATCTTTATAAATAACGCGCCAACAATTTTATATTAAACATTCTTGAGTAAAAGAAAAAATAACCCCATAAATAATGATTACATAAATCTAAAATTAATTCCAAAAATGTTTAGTGTGTGACAAAATAAGCATTGTGTTTATCTATTTTTATCAACCTTAGATGACATTGTATTTTCTAAATAAAAACTACAAAAAATGTTATATAATTTTTTATCGTATTTTTAACAACTTATAACCTACCATCAATCAATATTAGTTATTCCAGTACAAACAATTCAACACCAGATAAATAAACGCGGCTGACAAAAAACTGTTATTTTCATTTTTATTGACAACAATCCGTTGATTCTATTTTTAAAACCAATTAATTGACACATGTTGCAAGAAGAAATAAGAAACATTTTCTTGTCATTTTGTCGTTCATCCAATGAAGTAGATGATTGTGTCTAAACCGTTAGGTCATAAAGTTTTATTTTTAATGTCGTTTAATTCACAATGCCACATCGTTCATATTGAAGGCGATTCCTACATTACGAAACCAAATAGTTACCATTAAAATTAATGATAACTCTTGTAAAACGCGGAACTAAAAAAAAATAAATTTTTATCTTTTTTTCTGGACAATTTCCAATGTGTTCACCGTTCTACTGAAACACTTACTAACAGAAACGTTGTTTGTTTACGAATCGAGACTACTAGTAAGTGTCCTTCTTTGACTTCTTCTTCTTTAAGTCGTCTTCCGCGACGATTTTAACG